ATATATATATATATATATATATATATATATATATATATATATATATTTTTTNTAGGTCCTTGAACCAAGGTTATTGTACCATATGTTGATTTTTTTTAACTCTTCTGAACTTTAAACATTCACATTCACAGTTGTAATGTGTTTTTATAGCATCAATGTATATAATGTATGCATTTTGAAGATAGGTACGCCATTCAATAGGAATGACAATAAGAAAGTCTGGTACGTCATTCAATAGCACAGTACAATTGTGACAACTTGCACCATGCAGTGCTGAGATAAGATGCTCCACAAGCAGTTTTTATTTTATTTATTTATTTATTTATTTATTTATTGCGGGCAAACTATAAGCTTCATGAGTGATTATAAAGAAATTGACTTTCAGAAGTAAAACCCACATTTGGAAATATTCAACTCAATCACTAGCCATCATTTTCCCTATATCCTCTCTTTCAACATGATTTATGAAGGAACAAACCCAACGATTGACCTTTAGCCGACTAATTAATTATTAGCCCTTTGTCAAAAGGATGCTCTACTAGTAGGCTAATAAGACAGCGGACACGCCCCCTTTAGAATTCGACTTCAAAAAGGAACGTTAGAACACGTTTAGAATACCCTAAAATGCTTTCAAGATAGTCATCTCGCAGTGATTTGAGACGCCGCCACTATACAGTTAATGAAAATGTGGAGCACCGGCTCACAGCACCCCACTCGGATCCTCTTATATGTAGGTCAGTGAGGAATGTAGCCTACTGTATATAACGAACTAAAACAAAAACACCCCACGCGTCCTTTTTCAGTGAATAACCCGAGCTTTGGTCAATCGACAAACAGTCGTCAAACAATAGGAGAGAACAGTTCCTCCTGACGCGAGATATCCGCCTGTTCCCCCCTCCGCAATGCACCGATACACACCTCCATTCATTCACATTCAACGCCTCCGTCTGCGACACTCGCACACCGGCGGTGACACGCAACTATCCGCACACTTTAACACAACTCACGGACACAAAGACACTCACAATATGCGCGTGGAAATTAATCCCCCAATTAATTACGCTCTCCCGCGAGAGTCATTAACCAACATATTGTGCTGCAAATCAAATTCAATTAGCACTTATAAGCGTATACACGATAGAGAGATAGTGTATTTCAATCGGTCAGTGATGTTAGTGACTGCTGTTTAAAGTACTGACACTCTCGGCGGTGGAAACAATAGAGATAACGCGTTGATATTGATATTCAGAAGTAGTCCAGCACTGGTTTGCTTTACCTTGAGAGATGATAGTGCATTGTCCGTCCTGCTCTCTGACCCTGAAGCTGCAGCATTTTCCCGTTGAGAACCCGCCCGCTCATTATGTCTCTCTCTCCGCTTTGTTCACATACTCTTCATACAGTACAACATCCCGCGGTCGCTTTGGAGGTTTGAATGAGAAGCGGCTCTCTCTGCGCAGAGCTCCGGTCTCACATTCAGAGAGTAAGAGAGAGATAGAGGGAGGAGAGGAAAGGAAACACCCCCACATGTCCACCCCCTTCCCTGCTCTTGTCTTTCTCTCCTCCAGCTGTGAGTCTCTGACTGACTCAATCATCAAAACCGCCAGTGCCAGATAGCATTACGGTGTCAGGCATTATTCAGGAGATTGGGCTGTAAAAATGAGAATTCAGTGGTAGCTAATGACCTGGTTTATTCAAGCCAGAAGTACTGTTTAGGTTGACTGAACCAACTTGTATGACACAATCAAGAAAATGACAAATCCAGATTTATTCTGACTGAAACAACTGATAGACCTGATTGAGTCAACTGAATTGAATATTACAGAACGAACTTGTATGACAAATATCTGAATCAAATTAATTTGACTGAACCAAGTGAGTGAGAAATTGATTCAGAACTTGAAAATCAACTGTAACTGACAGCCTTGACTATGGAGACTGATCAGTCTCAAAAATAATGTCTACAAAATAAAACACGAAAAACTGGATTCATAAATACACAAATCCAATTCGTAATCCATTTCATAAGCTGAAAAGACGATTGAAAAATACACAAATCCAATTTGTAAGTTCAAAACGCGATTCAACAGTACACAAATCAAATTCAATTGTGAGTTCAAAACACGATTAAAAAATACACAAATCTAATTTGTAAATTCAAAATACAATTCATAAATACACAAATCCAATTCGTAAGTTCAAAACACGATTCAAAAATAACTAATCCAATTCGTAAATTCAAAGCACGATTAATAAATACACAAATCCAATTCGTAAATTCAAAACACGGTCCATAATTACAAAAATTCAATTCGTAAATCCAAAACAGGATTCATAAATACACAAATCCAATTCGTAAATTAAAAACACGGTTCATAAACACACAAATCCAATTCGTAAGTTCCAAACAAGATCCATAAATATACAAATTCAATTCATTTGACAAAAATATTTATAACTTTTACTTGTGAATTCATGCATTTTGTGTTGTATTTACAAACTGCTTTCAATTTACAAATCGGATTGTGTAAAATGTGAATTGTGCAGTGCATATTAGAACTTTATTTTGTAAATGTATTATTTTTATTCCCAGAGCTGGGTTGCGCCTGGAAGGGCATCCACTGCGTAAAAACTTGCTGGATAAGTTGGCGGTTCATTCGGCTGTGGCGACCCCGGATTAATAAAGGGACTAAGCCGACAAGAAAATGAATAAATGAATGTATTATTTTTGAGACTGATGTGGCTCCATATTTGGCCGAATCAACTGAACTGAATAGCACAAACCAACTTCATGAATACAATTGGACCAACTCATGTGACTGAATTTGCATAATTTGTTTTGAATAAACCAACAGAATTTAATACTAAACCAACTCATATATGACTGAATCATCTATTTTATTATGGGACAAATTTATTTAATTGAACCCAATGAATCAAGATAATTTTAAAAAAATGAATCAGAATTTGAGAATCCCCTGTAATTCGTAGCTATTGAATGAATCATCTGAATTGAAGAACACTGAATCAACTTATATGACTGAACTGACTATTTTAATATGACTGAATATCAACCAATCAATCATTTTCTTTTTGGCTTAGTCCCTTTTATTATCTGGGGTCGCACACAGTGGAATGATATCCAGCATTTGTTTTTATGCAGCAGATGCCCTTCCAGCCGCAACCCATCTCTGGGAAACATCCATACACACTCATTCACACTCATACACTACGGACAATTTAGCCAACCCAATTCACCTGTACCGCATGTCTTAGGACTGTGGGGGAAACCGGAGCACCCGGAGGAAACCACGTAAACGCAGGGAGAACATGCAAACTCCACACAGAAACGCCAACTGACCCAGCCGAGGCTCGGACCAGCGACCTTCTTGCTGTGAGGCATCAGCACTACCTACTGCGCCACTACGTCACCCATGACTTTAACAGTAATCATATGAACTCTGAAAAAATATCACAGAAAGAAAATAGTAGTAGATGCAGAGACTGAACATGAACAAACCACACAGCCCTGTAAAGACATCGGCAGTGAAAAGACACTCTTCTTCTGTATAGTCAATAGGCTGCTTTTGTAAATGAACAGTCTGCTTGAAGAAAGCCAAGACTCTGTTGGAACCACTGAGACGATATCATGAATAAACCTTTAAGAACAGAGGACAAGCCAGAGAGAAAGAGACAAAGAAGGTCTTCTTCCATTGCACACATGCACACACACACACACACACACACACACACTGCTAGCTTCAAGCAGTCACGGGTGGCCCTGATGTTTTTTAGCGCCTAGCCAGGTGTGTGTGTGTGTGTTAAAGGATGTGACAGACATGCTTGATTGGACCTTTGGCAGCGTGTACAAAGACAGCAACTGCAGGTGTGCCAGTCTCCTGCCCGCAGTGTTGCCTGGCACTAGGAAACGACAGGGAGAAGGGCAAGAAACAAAAGGGACACTAATGAGCAAAGAGTCCCGTGTAATGACTGATTTCCCTCCCCTGCCTCTGTGATCTCCCTCTGAGAAGGGCCGCTGTGGTCAGAGCATTGAGCCAGCATATCCAGCCCTGCTGTAAGCATGTCTTTGCGGTTTTATTGTACCCCGTAAATGTTTGTGGAGAAAAGTGCGTCTGGTTTAAGCAATTACCACTAACCTCAGATACTGATGCCGTGCAATTCCAATAAACACCAGTATGCTGGTGTGTTACTTGGCACCGACCCTGTACTTAAAGGTGAAGTGGGTAATTTTAGTGTCGGAAGGTTTCAAGGGGGAATAAACCATCAATAAGACAATTGCTTATGCTTGGAGTCAGTTAACTCAACAGGTTCCTACAAAGTATTAAACTGTCACGTAGGTTATCCCATATGGAAATTAATCATGCCTCAAACAACGCATCTTTTGAAGGTGGAAAGTTCCATCATATCTATGACTTTTTTTTTTTACTTTAATAATGATATTGGAGTGTTATTTTTGCCCTAAGCTAAATTCCAACCCTGTGCTGCTGGCTGTCAGGCACGGTAATGGGCAGCAAACACAGGTCAATTGACCAGAGTATGAGACCCTTTTTCCACCTGATATTAACATGTTTTCAATGATTGACTATACAAGGTATGTTACAACATAGTTGGCCTCGGTACAGCTCGCTTTTGGGGGCTTTTCCATTATGTTCCATTTCTAGTACCTGGTACTTTTTTTTAGTACTACCTCAGATTAAGTTCCAAGTGAGCCGTACCATTACTAATGCGAGATAAAACACACTGTGATCACTGATAACCACAACCAGGGGTACCGCTGGCTGGTTTGAGCCCTATGGCAGAATTTTTTAGGTGGGTCCCCCTCTGAGTTGAGGATGGAAGTGGAGAGCGGGGTGCAGTTGTGGAGGTTGGGGTAAGTTGCAGACAAAAATAAAGACCGGAAGGGCGGGGAGGTGGTTACTACCCCATAATAGTATCTTCTGACAAAAGTGCATGGAGGCAACGCAGTGGCGCAGTAGGTAGTGCCGTCGCCTTACAGCATGAATGTCGCTAGTTCAAGCCTCGGCTGGGTCAGTTGGAGTCTTTGTGGAGTTTGCATGTTCTCCCTGCGTTCACGTGGGTTTCCTTGGGGTGCTCCGGTTTCCCCCACAGTCCAAAGAAATGTGGTACAGGTGAATTTTAGTTTTGTGTTTACCTTATAATTAATGTTCTTGCATGTCTGCCTGCTCCTGCCTCTGAATGAGCAAGTTTTAGCTACTTGTACTTTAAGGTAGCTTTCAGAAAAAAACAAAAAACCCGCAAAGGAACTCGACACAGAGCAACATAAAAACCTCACTGCCAGGCTAGTGTTATTGCAGAGCAACACAAACAATGCGCCGAAGTAAAAATGCACGGCTACGCGCAAGGCAGCCGCTGTGGGTCATGCAGATTACACAATGCAGAAGTATAAATAAGCCTTTGGAATCGTCCTAATTACACCCCCACCCCATGAGCACCCCTGAATGCCACTACCAGTGTCATTAGATTTGCAACACAAGACACCGAACCTATATGAACAGTCAGCAGCAGCCATCACTGTACTGTTGGTTCTCACGACGTAACGATTTTTATACCATACCATTGTGGTCAGTAGTAGAGGCTCTTGCTGGTAGCCGAGGAGTTTTTCAGGAGGAGTTGTAGAGGCAGTGCAATAATATCTATAATTTCACCCACTATGATATGCAGTACAGTGGAAATGCAAACCGATCTGAGCCAACATGGCTAAATGACCAGCCATAAAAGATTAGGCTACTCTTTGCACCTGATATTAACATTCATTCAAATGCATTTCTTGTGACCACTTCTATTCAAAATTCTTTGAGACCCTTCTTTTTCATCTAGTACCACTGCCTGCATAATTCCATGTATCAGAGCTACTAAGTGAGCAGCAAAGCAAGCGAATGACAAGAATTTGAATGGTACCTATGGTTTCTGTTGCAAACAATGTGTTTTAGTACAAGTGAAGTATACAAAGCTCATTTTGGTGCACATTCTCATGACACGTCACATTACAATCATGTGTTAGGTCAGTAGGTGATCTTTAGTGCCTATTTGAATGTATTCAATAATAAACAGACGACAAAACTAATCTGGTCAAATGCATTCTTGAGTCCTTCTAAGAGCGTTGTGTGAGGACTATTTTGACCCGTAAACAACTATGAAGAAAGCCTAAAGCAACCACACAAAACCTCCAGACCAAGCACACTAAACATCGCTCAGACCACCCAAGGAACCACACACTGTAGCATTACACTAATAAGTGGATAGAAACAAAGTGCCAGCACCCTAAAAATAAACCATTCCAGCTAGGTCCCTTGTGTAAGAATTTTGTTCAACAGTATGCCTTTGAAGGTGTCTGCAGTTCAGAAGTAGCACACCTTTAACCTCTAACAGTCTTTCCATACCCCCCGCTTCTCCCAGAGTCTGTACTCTAAGCAGCCCAAGCGGTTGACTTAATTGGCAACTGTGGCGATTGTTACGGCCCCTTCCTCAACATAATGGCAAGGCAGCGACTGGAGACTTTGATTTCCCTGGGAAACTGTCAGTACAAGAGATGAAAGAGGGACCGATGAGTGCTGAGGAGACCTGGGAGTCCTCATCCACCTTATCTAGAACTCATGAGCTACCACTCCCTGTCTTATTCACTCCCTACTTTTAGGAGCTAATGCCCTTGGCAAGATGAGAGTTGAGCAAACAATGCATTACTCAGTCATATAGACTGGAAAATAAGCTTGAGCATTCCTGATTTAAAAGTATGCATGTCCACTGGGTGATCCAAAGTGTGAGTGTGCAACTCAGTAGATGATAGGGGTGCAATGGATTGTGCACAGATAGCGACATAGTGTGTGCTTCTGGTGAAAAACAGGATAATATTGATGGCATGAATAACATGCAAGGTGTGTCACTTTTACATTAAATCATTCCAAACTTTAGTGCTCACTTTTACTGTGGAGGTTGCACCGAATGGTTCAATATTACAATGAGTATTGTGGCATGGCATCCCTAGAAGACAAACTCCAAGACAAACCGTGTGAGCTGACATTT